GAAAACCTGTACACAAAATGTATAGCAGCTTTGTTCATAATTACTAAAAATCAGAAAAAAACTAGATGTCCTTCAGAGGATGACTGGGTAAACTGGTATGTTTGTTTCCATACAATGGTACAGTGTATGGTATGCTTCCATTACCACTGTGGTACGTGGTATATTTCCATGCAAGGGAATATTACTCTGCAATTAAAAAAAAAAGTACAAGCCATTGATTACACATACAGGAATGAATCTTAAGTACATTAAGTGAAATAAGACGAACATAGAGATTGCATTCTCTATGATTCTATTTATGTGATGTCCTTGAAATGGCAAAACTAGAGGAGAGAGAAGAGGTCCTTAGTGTCCTTAGATTAGGGGTAGAGAGAAAGTTGACTACCAAAGGGCTGGGCTGCACAAGGAGTTGGGGGTGGAACGGTATCCTGATGAGGTAGCAGTTATACAACTCTGCATTTGTCAAAGGGTAAAAACTATACACACAAAAAAAGTGAACTTCATTTGTATGAAAATTTTATAATAAATGTTAATTTTATAATAAATGTTATAAAAATTAGCAAAACACACAATTCAGAGCCATCTCTCCATATATATAGTCTTAAAGATAAACTTTAGGATAATGTGTTTTTTAACTAAAAAAAATAAAATAAAACAAAATAAGGAACTCATGGGTAAGTTGCTTGGAACTGCATTGAATTTATAGAGAATTTGTGGAGAATTGATATATTTTTAATGACAAATCTTTCTCTCTAAGCCCTTTTTAGTGGCTTCAATTTTTTTCACTTTGGGTCCTGCATATTTTTTGTGGAAATTTTCCTAGGTTATGTAATGCATTTTGTCATTGTGAATGAAATCCTTTTTCACTAGAATATTTTAATGAGCATTATTGGCTTAAAGGGAAAATACAGATTTCTGAATATTTGTTTTATAACTGGCCACCTCATTGGATCTGTCTTATTGGTATTAATATCAGCTATTAATTAATATACTTACATCACCACAGTGACTGTTTTTTTCCACCAGTTATATGCAAGACTTCCCTTTTTTAATTATGATGACTAATACTTTGAAACAGTGTTCAGTAAGTGTCCACTTTTATTTTCTAAGTTTCAACCCCATGTGGATGAAACAACTGTTTAGCCTTTTGCTCTCACGCATCATTTTTCTGAAAGAAACTGTATCAGCAGGGCTCAGTGGTTGAGCGTCAACATATGAACCAGAAGATCACAGTTTGATTCCTGGTCAGGGCATATGCTTGGATTGCAGGGTTGATTCCCATTGGGGAGCATGCAGGAGGTAGCCCATCAATGATTTTTCTCTCATTGATGTTTCTCTCTCTCTCTCCCTTCCTCTCTGAAATCAATAAAAAAAAAATATTTTTTTTTTTTAAAGAAAAGAGCTGAAACCAGTTTGGCTCAGTGAATAGAGTGTCGGCCTGTGGACCGAAAGGTCCCAGTTCAATTCCAGTCAAGGGCATGTACATTGGCTTCGGGCACATCCCCAGTAGGGGGTGTGCAGGAGGCAGCTGGTCGATGTTTCTCTCTCATCAATGTTTCTAGCTCTCTATCCCTCTCTCTCCCTCTCTGTAAAAAATCAATAAAATATATTTAAATTAAAAAAAAAAAAAAAAATATATATATATATATATATATATATATATATATAAAAGGTAAAAACTAGAGACCCAGTGCATGAATTTGTGCACAGCTGGAGGCCAGACCGCTGGGGGGAGGGGCCAATGGTGGTTGGCTGCCTGGCCCCACCCCCTGGTCGAACTCCTGTCAAGGGGAAATTTGCAAATTAGCCTTTTATTATATAGGATTTCTCACAACTTTCCACTATTGAAAAGTTAATGACTCAGCAACTTTGAAAAATGTGAAAAGAAAGAAAGCAAATCATTCCACATTCTACCTCTCCAACAAACCTCTTGTCCTCTCTCCTACTCCCTACCTGTGCTTACCCTGGGTCACTTTTACTCAGCTGTCATCATCACCTAGGAAATTTCAATTCAAAGTTTGAAAGCACTTCCTAGATTCTGCAATCTCCTAGACCCAGTTAGTCACCACATTCCCACCGTTCTGTCAGAAATAGGGATTAAGCCCTGCTGGTTGTTTCAGTTGGTTGGAGCATCATTCCATACACCAAAGGGCACATACCTAAATTTCAGGTTTGATCTCAGGTCTGGGCACATATAGGAGGCAATCATTTGATCTCTCTCAAAAAAAAAAAAATCAATAAAAACATATCCTCAGGTCAGGATTTAAAGAGGGGGAGGGGTAAAGAATTGGTAACAGGAAAAGATCAGAGAGACAAGCTCCTCTAAGGATTAAGACAGGATGAAGGTAAAAAAAAAAAAAAATAAAAAAAATAAAAAAGAACTGGGCTTGCTGGCTGGCCCCATAGACCCTCATACTCTCCAAAAGATGACAAGGCAGGCAAGGACATGAATAACAGGGTAGTTTGTGAACATGGCAGCATTGTGGGAACTGAGCTGTTGATCAGGCAGCTAGAAAGCTCAGGAAAGCTGTTCCCAGTTCATTCCCTATCATTGACTAGCTGGGTGACTTTAGACAACTCAACTCCCCTTAGTAAGAACAGCAGATTGAATTTCTAAGGACGCTTCCAACTCTAATTTCACATATCTGTTGCTTTGGAAAAACTGCACAGCTAGGATGGGGGTTGGGCCATCAGAGCAAGACAACTGAGAAGTAATTCCAGGTGATTCCGGACCATGAAATCATCTGCTCTTTCTGTTGGAAAGGACCGAAGGGGTGACCTAACATAACTTCCCACCTCTTGCAGGAATCCCCTCTATAACGGCCTTAGCAGCATCTTTGAAGTATTTCAGAAATAAGAAATTTGCTGTCTCATAAAGCAGGTTGTTTTCTAACAGTGTAATGCTTAGAAAATTCTTAAACTATAATAAGATAAAATTAGTTCCAATTCAACCCTGAGCAATTGGAGTGGGCCTATCCTCTGTAATAACACAGATACAGCTCTTCTTTCCAGCATGTAACTATCTTTTCATTGATATTCAGTGAATGCATTGATAGTGATGCCTATAAAAAGTTTTACATGTGGCATATTATCACATGCATTTAAGTAGCGAAAATCTATTCTATAGAAGTTCTGTTCATAAGTGGGAGGATCATTATCACAGGATATGTAGCAAAAATTCCATTTCAGTTGTTTTCCAATTTGAAAAAAAAAATCTTTAAGATGATAGAGAGAAGGAAAAAAAAAGTAAAAATGGCTCAGTTGAAAAAGATGGAAATTCTTACGCTAGTCCAAAAGAAAATGTAAGTAAATTTGCAGGGTAATTTTGCCGCCATCTATGACACAAAACAGGGAAAAAATGAATAAGGAAAGGTTAAATATAGTTTCAATTGTTACTATACCAAAAACTTTGTGGCTTAAAACAACATGAATTTATTACATCACAATTCTGGGGGTCAGAGGTCCAACACGGTTCTCGCTGGACTAAAAAGCAAGGTATCAGCAGGGCTGTGTTCCTTACTAGAGGATCTAGAGGAGAATCCCTGTCCTCATATTGTTCAGCTTCTAAGCTTCCCACATTTCAAGTCAACAACAGTGCATCTCCCATACTCTGCTTCCACAGTCACGGTTCCTCTGACTCTGTCTCCTGCCTCCTTCTTCCACTTATAAGGACCCTGTGATGACATTGGGCCCATCTAAATGACCCAGAATGACCTCCCTATCTCAAGGTCATCTGATTAGCAACCTTAATCCCACCTGCAATCTTAACCTAACATAACCTTTGCCACGTAACCTAGCATATTTGAAGGTCTGGGGAGTAAGGTGTGGACATCTTTGGGGCTCATTAGTCTCCCTACCAAGCATTTATTCAATGCTAACACTTGAGAGAGGTAATTTGAGAAAGATAGGCAAGTGCATACCCACTTTGTCATGATTTCTGTGGACATCTGGGAACTTGTGAGAATGCACGTGGTCTTTGGGCAAAAATGAAAAGGATCCCAAGTCAATTTTATAGAAAAGATTCTTTTATTAACTTTTGGTAGAGAATACGTTTGTATATTTTCAGAAAACTACCCCAAGACCATGGGGATTCCTGCAACAGAGAGGAGTTGTCAGGTCTGCTCCAACCACAAAGACAAGAGGAGAAACATTCTAGAGATGGAAGACGCTGACGATACCTGGCCACGCTAGCAGTCAGCAGCTATGCATTGCTGCAGGTTGCCCAGGACCAAACCAGAGAGGGTCGGACCTGCATTGCCACCATCTGTCCATCATCCAGATATCATTGCTGACATGTACACATAAGGAACTATTTGACATTGAAACTGGATCTCAGAACTGTTGGACATTGAAATTGGGACTCAAACGTTATTATATGTTTATTTCTAGTCTACAGTTGCAAGATTTAAAAAAAAAAAAAAAGAAATGAGGAAAAAATAGTTATAGAGATAAAGAACCATTGAACAGACTATCAAATTATAGCTGGAAGGCAAGGGAGTTTGGGGGAGGGGGGGTACTGTAAGAGATCAACTGAAGGACTTGTATGCATGCATATAAACTTAATCAATGGATACAAGACACGGGGGGTGGGGGGGATGCGGGCAGGTGAAGGCATATGCGGGGAGGGAAGTCTGGGGCAGGGAAGGAGACATATGTACTATATTTGTAATGCTTCAAACAATAATAAAAAAATAAAAAAAAGAATGCATGTGGTCATTGTCACTGGTTAGTGCTTCTCTCTCAGGTCTCATAGACAATGCTGTGGCTTTCCTTTGCTTTAGTGTGGCCCCTCCCACTCTTAGTCCATCAGTCAGCAAAGGGCTTCCATTCATAAGTGGAAAGAAAAGGGGGGCTGATTTTTCTTCAGGTAAATGGGCAAGTTTGAGAGAGGGAGTTTAAAAGTGTGCACTTGAGAAACAGCGAAAGTAAAGGAGGGGAGAACGAAGAAAGATGGGAGAGAATTGGAGAGGGAGCTCACTGGCCCATGGCCCCCTCCCCTCTCCAGCACTGTCATCCCCAGGAGAGGTATTCGCTGGACTGGGTCACAGAGGAAGTGCCCACAGACTGCATTCTCCTCTCCTGGTGTGTGTACCAGCCTGAACTGGTACTCAGACTTTCTGAAATCCTGAGGAGACAAATCTGAGAAAATAGTCATTTAAACAATAAAAGAAGCTTCAGTGTAGAAATTAAATGTGGTTAATACTTATCAGATGAGAGTACTCAGAGGGCAAATCTATATATATAAAAGCCTAAGCGACCAGAACCCCGGAATGACTGGAATGACCAGTCACTATAACGAACACTGACCATCAGGGGGCAGACAATGCAGGAGCTGCCCCCTAGTGGTTAGTGCACTCCCATAGCCAACCTCCTTTGGCCAGCCAATCTCTCCTGGTCCCTCCCTATGGCAGCCAATCTATTGCAGTCTCTCTCTCCTCCCTAATCCCCCCTGCATCACCCATTGGACAGGCCCGGCCAGGGCCCCGGCAGGCAGCCAGCAGGAAGGCAGGGCCATCTGGCAGGAGGGGCCATAGAACAAAAAGGCCCTGGCTGGCAGCTGAAAGGCCCCAATCGGCCCTGATTGCAGGCCAGGCCTAGGGACCCCTCTAGAAGTTTGATAAAGTTACAGACCCCGTTTTGCACCCTGAGACTGTCTGAGCCCAGTCCTCTGTCCTTTCTGTGAATCTAAATGGCAGTTCAGGGACAAAGTCAGTCTGAATAGTCTTCAAAATTTGGAGCTAAAATATCCTTTCATTTATGAATTATGACACTACTAGAGGCCTAAGCACAAAATTTGTGCAAGGGTCTCAGCCCTCACAGCCATGGCAGCTTGCCTTGGCCCTCACAGCCCCAGTTTTGTCTGGAAGGTCGTCCAGAAGGACATCTGGAAGGTCATTCAGCTATCTGGTCTAATTAGCATATTACACTTTTATTATTATATTGGGTAGATGTGGTTGCTGGCTTTTTAAATGAGCTTATTACAAAGTCAAAGTATCAACACACACAGTTTTATTTTTCTACTGGTCTTTGAAACACAAAAGAGAAAGAAGCCCCAGGCAATATCTTATATGATACAATTCATCATAAACAAAAGTAGAAGAGAATATGAGAATATCTAGGTTTCTATACAGATGACAAGACTAAATGAGAATATGGAAATAGGGCTTTTCGGTGGTAGAAATATAAGTGCTTTCTTACCATTTCCCCTCACACAGCTGCGGTGCATGTCCCAGCACTGTGATATGGAAATGTGAGAACGAACACGTTGTGTAATAAGGCATCATCTATAAATGATGAACTTTTGTATTCATTACTATGCAAGGCACAGAAATTCACCGAGGTAGACGCATGCCTGACACTCTACAACCACGTATCCCTGGACATTAAGGAACGTCACTCGGGTGCAATGACATGGAGACCTGTGTTTGAGAGCAGCAGCTCTCCTCCTAAGTTTGAGTCAGGTTTCCTTGGAGACTCTTTGAACTGGGCATTGTGTAAGCTAAAGAAAGGCAGAAATAGATATGAGGCATACATTTCAGATTGTTCTATCTCATTCGCAAAAGTCATCATACATTTTGACCATTTGTTTTCATAAGTTAAAATAATTAAATTGGGCCTAGCTATTAATGTTTTTGGCCAAAGCACACTACAAAAATAAACTATAGTCTGAGAGTCATATAAATATTCTATTTGGCATCCCAGATAAATACATCATTTTATAACGAATGAAAGTGTTGCTCTGGTCAGTGTGGCTCAGTTGGTTGAATATCAACCTATGCACCAAGAGGCCACCAGTTCAAATCCTGGTCAGGGCACATGCCAGGGTTTAGGGCTTGATCCCCAGTAGGGGCCATGCAGGAGGCAACCAATCCATGGTTCTCTCCATCTCCCTTCCTCTCTCTCTACAATTAATTTTAAATAAATAAAAATACAAAAAGAATGAAAATGTTTTCATGAGAGGTACTGTACTTTACTCTTACTTTTCCTGGAAAAAATCACAATAGACTGTAGAAGTAGATGGCCACATATACATGGTCAATTGATTTTCTACAAAGTTGCCAATACAATTAAATAAGAAAGTAATCATTTTTCAACTAATGGTAGTCCTGACAATTGGACAATTGGGCATCCATATAGATGATTAAAACGAACCACGAATCATACCATATACAACAATGGACTCAAAATAGGTCTAAGACATAAATGTAAGCAATAAAACTATAAAACTTCTAGAAGCAAACTTAGGAGAAAATCTAAGTTACCTTGGGTTAGGCAAAGATTTCTTAAATATTGGGTCTAGTAATAAGTAATGTCGTTTTTAAATATTCGTTTAAAATCTTGCTTGGCGTTGACTTGTATTGACATAACCTTCAAACACGTGGTATCTACAGAACGTGTGAAGTGCAATTAACAAGTTTTGCTTGAAAAAGGTTGTGTTTGGTTTGGTTTTTATTGCAAAACTAGGGCTAAGAAGATGGCGGATGAAGAGCATATTCGGCACTGCATGCTTTACGAGTTCCAATTAGGAAGAAAAGCAAGTGAGGCTGCAAAAAACATCTGTAGTGCTCTTGGTCAAGATGCAGTTAGCGCCAGAAAATGCCAGTGTTGGTTTGAGAAATTTCGCAAGGGAAATTTTTCGTTAGATGACAAGAGTGGTCGAGGCCGTGTGTCCAATTTTGATCAAGAAGCTCTTCAAGCTCTTTTGGTGCAAAATCCTCAAATTACCCAAAGAGCTTGTGACAACTTTAAATTGTTCACAAAAAACAATTTCCAATCAATTGCGTGCACTTGGCAAAGTCCAAAAGTTTGGAAAATGGGTTCCTCATGAGTTGACCGACAACAACTGTAATCAAAGAGTTACAATTTGCAGTTCGCTCCTCTCTCGTCAAAACCATTTGCCGTTTTTAGAGCAAATTGTTACTGGAGATGAACAATGGGTGCTGTATGTTAATTTGAAAAGGCGGCCTCAATGGTTGGACAAAAATGAGGCTCCGCAGCCCACGTCAAAACCTGACTTGCATGCGAAAAAAGTGATGTTGTGTGTTTGGTGGAATTTTAAAGGAATTCTTCATTATGAACTTTTACCATCTACCCAAACCATTACAAGTGCAGTGTATAGTGCCCAATTGGAAAGGTTAGCCCAAGCTTTAAGAGAAAAAGAACCTGCGCTGATTAATCGGAAGGGCGTAATTCTTCACCACGATAACGCACGACCACATACTGCAAGAATCACTGCTGAAAAACTGCGCCAGTTGGAATGGGAAGTTCTCCCTCAACCTGCATATTCTCCTGATATTGCCCCTTCCGATTACCATTTGTTTCGTTCTTTGCAAAACTTTCTTCTTGGAAAAAAATTTAATAATGAAGAATGCCTCAAAAATGTATTAACGAATTTTTTGCATCAAAATCACAAGAATTTTACAACAGAGGGATTAAAATGCTTCCTGAGCATTGGGCACAAGTAGTAGAAAACAATGGCAACTATATTGTTGATTAAATTTTGTTGTATTGTTTAAATAAATTTGATTTAAAAAAGTATTAGAAAACGACATTAATTATTACTAGATCTAATAGTACACCAACAAGCACAAACTATAAATAAATATTTGGTAAACTGGGCTCCATCAAAATGTTTTAAATTTTATAATTCATATTGCTTGCCCTTTAAGAAGACTTAGGCAAGCAATATGAATTATAAAACAACTCCCAAATCAATGAGTCTCCAATTAAGGAGATTTAAAGGGCAAGCAATAAAAAATAGTTGCAAAATATATATCGGACAAAAGATTTGTATCCAAGACATATAAAGAACTCTTGCAACTCAATAATAAGAAAACGAACAACCCAGTTATTTAAAAAAAAAAAAAAAACAGTCAAGTTTTTGAGACATTTCGTGATGAAGAGACATTTCGTCAAGGAAGACATACAGATGGCAAATAAGTACATGAAAACATCACTGGTAATTAAGAAAACACAAATTAAAACCACAAGTTTATACTCCTAATAGTCATTAGAATGGTCACAAGTAAGATACTGACAATATCAAATGCTTACAAGGCTGTGGAACAACTGGAACTCTAATACATCACTGGTGGGAATACAAAATAGTGCAACCACGTAGGAAACAGTTTGGCAGTTCCTTGATAGTCAAATATAAAATTACCATATGGCCCAGCAATCCCATTTATAGGTATTCACCCCAAAACAGAAAAATATGCATGTCCACATGAATACCTATAAATGAATATTTATAACAGCTTTATTCGGTTTCTGATAACTGGAAACAACCCAAATGTCCATTAACTGGTGAACGCATAAGCAAATTGTGGTATCTTCACACCGGGAAATAGTGCTCAGCTATATAAGGAACAAAGGACTGACTTGAACAACAAGGTGGATAAGTTGTAAATGCATTACATGAAGTTTTAAAAGCCAGACATATAAGATTCTGTGTATACACAATTATTTAAAAAATAAAATAAAATAAAATAAAATAAAAAAGCCAAACCACAGTGATATAGAAAGGAAGTGGGTGGTTGTCAGGTTGCTGCCGGGAGAGGGAGGAAACGACAATCAGAGGCGAGGAAGCTTTTGGGATGATGGAAACATTTGATGTCGTGACTGAGGGAGTCACATGACTGTACACATTTGTGAAAACTCATCAACTTGTACACCTAAAGTTGTTGCATTTTACTGTACATAAATTAGACATTGTCAGAGCTGACCTCGAAAAAGCATCAGAGCCCATGGTCAAGGGCGAGTCACCAGGAAACGATCAGTGGAGAAGCAAGATTTCAGTTTCATTTTGCCAGAGGATTCCTCTAATTCTAGGCGAGTAAAAGCAAAACACTGCAGAATTTTCATAGTTTTCCTGGTGCCTCTCCCCACCTCCACACCCGTAGCCCGACCATGGCGGCCCTCCCAGCACATGGCCTGAGACTCTCAGTTTCTCTTCTTATTAGAGGGATTTGATCACATGCTCAAAAGGGGTTTTAGTTCTCAACTGCTGTGTCAGCATGTACTTTCCAAGCTGCGTTCCCCATTGGGCATCCCAGACCTATAGTCTCGGTCTTCTGTGTATGCTCACAGGGACCCTCATCCTTCGTGCTCAGGGGGATCCTGGCTAAAATTTACATCGAGGTCTTGGGGAGAGAAGGGTCCTCCATGGACCCATCACGAGATGACACCGTGGAGAAGGGATGCCATTGCCAGGTTCACAGCTCAGATATCCGCTTCCAAGAAGTAATCACTCACCCTTAAAATAGCTTGGTGCATCCCAAGACTGGGCGTGGTGCCATCCCTTGAATGCTGGTGCTCCATGGATGGCACTGCCCACCTTGCCCAGCCACCAGGAGCTGCTGTTGTCTCATGGAGAGAGTCAGGGTTTCTCTGCCTTCCCCACAAATGCCCATACCCAGAGAGTCCCTGACCCATGTGCTCCCTTAAGGCTCAGAGCACACACCCCTTATTGATCACTCCTGCTCCAACTCCCTTTTCTCACCGCTATAGTAGCCAGGTCCCCTGATTTCACCTGGAAAACCCAAGTTGGGCAAGGAGAGAGACCTCTGTGCCACATCCAGACAGCAGCCCATGCACAGCTAGAAGGCAGCCTAGGTGGGACTCAGCCCTCCCAGGACAGCTTCCCGCCAGCAAGATGCCAAACTTGGAGGTGAGAGCCAAGTTAGTGGGAGGCGAGGCGGGTGGGAGCAGTGACCAGGGAGCCCCTTACCAACAGTGCCACCCTGCCACACCCAGGTACCCAGAACCTCCTAAAGCCAGCACAGGCCACCATGTCACCATTAGAGAAAAGGTTGAATGGTGATTGTCCAAAGGGAGGTAGTGTGGGATGTACAATCATTTGTATCCAAAGGCCAGAGGCTGATGCCTCTCTCCTGTTCGGATAAGAGGTGATCCAAAAGGATGCTTCATATGGAAAGACCAAAGCCAAAGCCCAGAGCCCCAACGTAACTTCTCCATTTTCGTGTTTTGCCTAAAGGCCACGTCACAAACACTAAGCAGCTCAGAGAAGAAACAATGAAATCTTTTCCACTGGATAAATGGGCTCCTCGTCCTCCCCACTCAGCCAGTCCTTCAAGTTACACTGGGGCTCTGGAGACATTTGGAGCTGGGTCATTCTCTGTGGTCGGGCTGTCCTGAGCATTTTAAGGGGCTGAGCAGCACCTCTGGCCTCAACCCACCAGATGCCAATAGCACCCCTTGCCCCAGGTGTGATTTAAAAACAACTACTCTCCAGACATTGCCCAATGTCCCTTGGGGAAAGGGGAGTGGGTAGAATCACCCCCAGATGAGAACCACTGAGTTATATTTCTTCCTTTCTTTTGTTTTTGTTGTTGTTGTTGTTAATCTTCACCAGAGGATATTTTTTCCATTAATTTTTAGAGAGAGTGGGAGGGAGGGATGGAGAGAGAGAGAGAAACGTCTATGTGAGCGAGACACATCAATTGATTTCTTCCCACACGAGCCCCAACTGGGACCCAGAATCGAACCCTAGACTCTTCGGCTCGTGGTCAGCACTCTAACAACTGAACGAACCACACTGGCCATGTCAGGCTTCTTCCTTTTGCTTCAGTCTCCTTCCAATCTCCTCTTTGCTCCCTGTCTCTCCATCCCCCTCTCTCTACTTCTCAAATTGCAGTTGCCCCATTGGCGCTGCTCTGAGCCCACAGATCCTCCACAGGGATCCAAAAGAGAAAGGGTCTCTCAACGATGGCAGAGCAAGAGCTGCCCGCATGGGACCATCCCCGGCACAAGGTCCAGGGAGGAGATGGTGGCTTCCAAAATGACTGAGTGCTAGTGTCCCTAGCTGAGCGCCCACCTGGTAGGTACAGCCTAAACCTGCCTGCCAGGCATCACCCAAGTTTTCTCCAGATCCGTCGGGGACTTCTGGTTCCAGGATGCCCACCCTTTGCCTTTCAGGATATCAAAGACACAAAAGCCCACAGCACAGAAATTCTTAGAAAGGGCTTTTCCCAGCCCATCTTTAAGTATCTGGGTAGCAGGACTCAAAAGAAACTCATACGAAAGGAAACTGAACTAGCAGGTACCACTTTCCACCAGTGGCACCTACCCCAGCAGGAAAGTGGGGAAGTCCCTCAGGCTGCCTGAGTCATAAATGTGGCCCATAAAAGGTATTGAGACGAGACCTCTCAGAAGCAACCAAGAACAGCCAGAAACTTTGTCCTCAAACCTCTTGGCCCCTGGTTTTTCCCCATTGCCTGCCTTGAGGGGCAAAGACAAACCAGGCTCGGTCATACTCCTATGTCCAAATGGAAAATAACTTCTGAGTTTGTTAAATATCATATACTGAGTGGCCAGATTATTATGATTTCTGAACACATAATAATCTGGCCACTCAGTGTATATCCTATATAATAAAAGGCTAATATACCAATTGTCCCCTTGACCAGGAGTTCAACCAGCAGGCAGGCCAGCCAACTGCCCAAGTCCCCTCCCCCACCCAGGCTGGTCAGACCCCACCCTTGCATGAATTCATGCACCAGGCCTCAAATACACACACACACTCACACACACACACACACACACACACACACACACTGAGTGGCCAGATTATTATGCATTCAGAGATCATAATAATCTGTCCACTCAGTGTTATATTGATGTGTTCCTATCTCAGTTGATCTATTATAATCAGAATGTAAGTCTCTTGAGGACTTAGACTTCCATGAATCCCATCTGTCAGGCACGTGGTAGACACTCATGTCATTGTAGGAAAGTGATGATGGTGGCAGAACTCTGCCTTTGAGGTGAAGATTGTGCCTGGTAAGTTCTCTCTTCGGACAAATGTCCCTGGGCTGGAATTGGGTCTGGAACAGTGAGCCTTGCGGCACTCAGCGTTCCCTCCACCCCCACCTGCAGCTCACCTCCTGCCACAAGTTGTGTGAGATCCGATTAAAATTAAGAGTTTCCCCTGACCCATGAAAAGACCAAGAAGCGCATCACTCGGATCCACACAAGCAGAGACGAAGGAAGGCACATTACAGTGTACCTTGGTTCTGGTGAGAACGTTCTGGATGTTCGGATGTACATAAGCTCCTGCACTCCCACCTCTGAATCACGCACCCTCAGTCCGCAGTGGGAGGTTCCACCCACTTCGTAGAAAAGGAAGGGGAACCTGTTTCCGCAGTGTCACCCACTCGACAAACACCACGCCTGGCTAAACGCCTATGCCCAGCAGCTGAATGTGGCCAGAGGAGAACATGCAACCGTGGTGGCCAAGCTCCCTCTCCATTCTGCCCTTGGCCTTCAGTAAGGCTTCCTGCTGCTGAGGGACCACACCCATTTCCCTGTCCTTTTCTTCTCTCCTCAACAACTATGTCATACATTCCCTCCCTTCACACCTCCAGCACCCCTTCGTCTTACTCCTATCTCACTGAGAAAATAGAGGCAACCAGAAGAGAATGGGGCACGGCCTCTCAGATGAGAGCTGAGGTCTGCTGCAGGCGGGGTCTTCAGGGAAGATTTACTTCCTAGCCCTAAGGTGCCCGGGCACCCATCTCCCCAGACCTGGCACTGCCCACAGCACAATGTCACGTGAGGAGGCACAATACTTACCTAAGTGCATTACCCAAGACTGGCTGGAAAGCCCCTGGGATTAGACTATGGTGTCGGTATTTCTTCCTTTCTTATTGGACAAATGCACGGCCTGCAGATGGACAGGAATATGTACAAGGAGATACATTTTCAATTTGAGGATAATTCAACCAGTGTTCCTTTCTAGGTCCCAGGAATATAGCTGTGGATAAGAAAAGGGAGTTTCCAAAACATCAGGGGAGATGGACCTGAAACACATTCATATAGGATTACAAATTATACAGATCCTATGAAGGAAAACAACAAGGAGAGGAGAGAAAGGGTGAGAGACAGAAAAGAGAGATTGTGAGAGAGAAAAAGATTGAGATTTGAAGGTGCCACACTGTTAGCTTTGAAAATGGAGGAAGAGGCCACAAGCCAAGGAGTGTAAGTGGCCTTCAGAGTCTGGAAAAGGAAGGAGCAGATTCTCCCCTGGAGCCTCCAAAAAGAACCAGGCCAGCAACACCTTGACTTTGGCCCAGGGAGACCCATGTCAAACTTGTGAGACTACAGAACTGTAAGATCATAAGCGTGTGTTGTTTTAATCCACCAGATTTGTAATTTGTTACCACAGTAATAGGACATTAGTAAGAGACTTAAATGTCTCTGCTCCAATCCATTCCTTGAGTGATAAAAATACTAAAAAAAGGAAAATTAGGTAATATTACACAGCCGCAAAGCAACACATACTAGATGCTAAATCAAATGCAAAAAATAGTAAGTGCCTTGACAGTTGAGGAGTTCAGCGAGAAAATTCCCGGCTGCTGAACAGAACAATCTAGAACAAAGCCTCTCCAGGCCCCCACAAACAAGAGCAGCTTTTCTGAGACATCACCTGGTGGAAAAATTACACTGAACAGCCCTACAACAAAAGATGAAGGTTGGGGAACAGTTAAGTGCCTGTGTCCCAGGACTAACAAGAGTCCCACTTCATGCCTCCTGGGGTATTTAATCATAGAGTCTACAGGGTGCTCACCAGGAGGAACTCTGTACACATAAACAATTAGGACCAACTCTGTTTAACCACAAACTATATTACATATCCTTATGACCTATAATCCAGGCCCTGGGCAGGTCCTAAAACACAAAGATGAATAAAACATAGGGGTGCTCTCAAGCTCACAGTTCGGATTAAACAAAAAATGCACTGACAAGAAGATCGAGTTTCCCCTGCCCCAGGAAAAGACCACGAAGCGCATCTTTCAGATACACACAGGCAGAATGATGCTGGCTGGTGAGGTGACACTGGATGACTTAATCGCGGCAAAAGATGGCCTTCCTGGTGCGGACATCAAAGCAATTTTTACAGAAGCTGGTCTGATGGCCTTGAGAGACGTGGGATGAAAGCAACAAATGAAGACTTCAAAAAAAATCTGAAGAGAATGCTCTGTGTACAAAACAAGAAGGCACTCTGAGGAGCTCTAGCTCTAGCAAACTACTAGGAAACTGTTGGGGGTGCCTGACCCCCAGAAGGGAGGAGATTGGGACGTTTCCCAGAGGACCCCATTCCAGTTGATCTCCATTAGCCTGTGCACTGTGTACCTTCCTGAACTTCCTGTGTAGGATGGCCATTGTGCAGTGCTCTCTTCCCAATAAAGCACGCTCTTTCCCAAACAAACAAACAAACAAACAAACATAGATTCCTGCCGAAACTGGTTTGGCTCAGTGGATAGAGCATCGGCCTGCAGACTGAAGGGTCCAGGGTTTGATTCCAGTCAAGGGCATGTACCTTGGTTATGGGCACATCCCCGGGGGGGGGGGGGGGGGGGGAGGGGGTAATGCAGGAGGCAGCTGATCGATGTTTCTGGCTTTCTATCCCTCTCTCTTCCTCTCTGTAAAAAAATCAATAAAATATATATTTTTTTTTAAAAAGATTCCTATTCAAAGAGAGCAGTGCTCAGAAACGAGCAGTGCTTCCTTGTGGCTGTGGTCTGTCCCATTCCAAAGATGCTCCGAGTCTGCTCTGGCTGCACTCACAGAAGCTGCACTCCAGGAAGTGTGGGATGTAGCACCAGACAGGTGAGCTCAGTCACTGAGAGGACATGTCCGGCCTTCCCCATACCAGCTGTGTACCTTACTCAAAACTTCATTTGACCACCCTCAGCCTATGCAAAAGGCAGATAGAAATAGCCACCTCAAGGAGCTGTTGTAAAGATTAAATGAGGTCTGTGAAGTAACTGGAGCCTGGTAAGCACTGAAAAGGGTAGTTACTTCAAAGCAAAGGTGCCCGGAGATAACCACCTCCCACAGGAAGGAGAAAGAATGATGGTGGGAAACAGAGGATTAGAAGTCAGAGGACTTTGATCATGGCTACAACTTGAATGATTGTACTTTAAGTGCAGAAGGGCTTTAGGGAAGACAGTTGGGGGGCAGGAGGAACCCCCCTTGCTTTATGTGGATAAGTGCAAACATTGTAGTAAGTCGTTATGCAAGATGCCAATGTTGGTTGCACATTCCTCGGGACATAAACCAATGACCTTGGACTCCCCATCTAAGCAAGTGGGTGCAAGTGGGAGCAGCAGCCCCAGGTCACTTTACCTCCCAGTAGTTGGGTCATTCTATTTTTTCTTAGTCTTTCTCTAAACTCTTAACTTCCCCATTGCAGAATCTCATTGAGTTGACCTCTGACTTCAGCTCATTTCCAGAAGTGTTTAGACTCTCTGTTCTGAAAATCTCTTTTTTTTTTTTAATAAATATTTAATTACCATTTTGATTCTTACCTTTTCTCTCTGTGTGA